CTGAGATCAAGCAGGAAAACCCCTTGGCTGGGTGGCCTAAATGAAACCCTGCCTCCTCCAAATGAGAAGCACATATAAATACATACATATGGTGGAGGGGGGTGGGGGAAGCTTCTCGGAGACATGTCAAGGCTGAGAAATGTTTCAGATTTGCTCATTGCTAAATCAATACCCATCAGCTGTTTGAAATTAAAGGCAAGATTAGGTCCTGGTTTTATACACGCTTTATTGTATTCCGAGAGCTTTCTACTCAGCCAGATAAATCTTCTTTAAGAGGATTAGGAAACTTTCATTATCTTTATCTAACCTGAACTAACACTAACTCTGAAAAATTAATCTAGAGACCGGACAAAAGCCGGGAGCTGGTGTAAAGCCACAAGGATACAGAGTGGAATCCACCAGAGTACTACGGGACTGCTGGTACCCAGATCCCCCCAGCAGGGAAACTCTGCTTTGCAACCCAACGGGATCTGCTCCACCGACCTACAAAGCCCTTTGCAAAAGCCCTTCATGGCCCTGCAGTGCCTTCGAGCCTTTCACGCAATCTGGCCCCTGTCCCAAACCCACAAAGCCTAGTTCTTTGCTTTCTGCTCTCCTGAAGCATCTTTGGCTGCATGCTCAAGAGCCTTGCTGACTGCTTCCCAACATGCCAAGTCAAGCAACGTGGTCTCAAGCAATGGAGATGGGTCAAATTCCCAGCATGACACATCAGACCCTATTTCAGTCCTTAAGTGTGCTCTGTGGCACGTGATGGCCATACAACACAGCGAGGCTGAGACGATGCAAGTCCATCTCCTGGCATGGATGTCACTGGTTCACATCCCCATTCTCACACCACTCAATCCCTGAAGCAATGGACGTTGGCCTGATCTCTACATCTCCATCACCAAGAAGGCCCTTCCCAAGTCCAGACAGCTTCCCATATCCAACAGCCAACGCAGCAACAGCACGAGTCACACAAAGACCTACCTTGCACGATGAGATGGACACGTGAAGTCTTGGGGTGATTGTCTGTCTGCACGGAGCAGGTGTAGGGACCTTCATCGTAGACATCCACGTTGTGTATCTTGATGCTGTACTGGGTCTTGGTGTTGGAGAGGATGACCACGCGGTTGTCTATAGACCACTTGTCATTGCCAGCGTACAGGATGGTGCTGCGGTTCAACCACGCTACCCGTGTCACCCGGTCATCAACAGTACATCTGCAAAGGAAGAGACAAGATGGTCACAAACCTGGAAGAGGTCACACAACGAGCATCCCCATTCCCAAAAAGCAGACATGGGTGCAACAGGAGCTCCCCACCACGTGCAGGCACGGAGATGGTACATGCCATGGCCACGCTAGGCTGTCCCCATGTCCCACATCACCCAAGATTCCACAGATACAGCGGGTCCACCAAAAAAAACCCTTTTTCTTTCATTCAGAGCTGTGGAACCAGAGCCAAAAAACCCATTTGGTTTGACCACCACAAGCCACATAGACTTCCCATACCCATAGAAATCCAGAATCATTAGGGTTGGAAGGGACCTCGGAGATCACCCAGTTCTACCGCCTGCCAAGGCAGGGCCACCCAGAGCAGGTTGCACAGGAACGTGTCCATGGTGGGTTTGAATGTCTCCATATTAGGAGGCTCCACAACCCCGCTGGGGAGCCTGTTCCAATGCTCTGCCACCCTTAGTCTGCTCTTCTCCAGACTAACCAGGCCCATTTCTCGCAATCTCTCCTTATCAGAGAGATGCTCCAGAACCCTGAGCATCTTTGTGGCCTCACCAGACCCTCTCCAGCAGCTCCTTGTCTTTCTTATACTGAGAATCCCAGACCTGGACACAGCAATCCAGATGTGGCCTCAGTAAGACTGACCAGAGGGGGAGGATCTCATCTCACCCACTTCCACCTCCCCTCCTCTATTTATCCTTGCTCCACACCAAGACTTCCAGATGAAGCTGTCAATGTGCTGACAGTCCAGCTTGTCAGCATGGCCCTCGAGCCATCGCCAGGGTGACATTCACACCCGCTGCCAGGGAACGGGGACCACAGTACACACAGGGAGAGGGGAAGAAGAGAAACAGCCAGAGCCAGGGCACAGGGAAGAGAAGGGAACATTTGGACAAGCAGCTGTAAATCCTACAAGTGCCTTGAAAACACGACGCGGTCGTTGCCGTGATTTATTTCCTGCCTGGCTCCCACCCTCCCCGCTCTGAGACACGGCAGCTCCGGCCCGTGGCGCTGACTTACACTTGGCAAAGAACAGAGGGAAGGGAGGGGGAGAAAGGGAATTAAAATGTTCCTGCAGTACATGGCTTCTTCATCCCGTTTCATAGATTTTTCTCCGTCCAGTTACTCGTGGCCCTTCTTCTGCTGTTCCTGCCACAGAATCTTCTAAATGAAGAGCCCCACATCTCTCAGGAGCTTCATCTTTCCCACCCAAGGACCACAGAAGGGAAGCTTTCCCCTAGCAAACCGTGAAAATCGAGCTAGGTGCGAGCTTGTGCCAGCAGCAGCATCACTTTGCACAGCCAAGATGTTAGGAAAAGGCACCTACAGTCAATCAAAACCTCCTTCAAGTCCCTTTCCACACGCTTGTAAATTCAGACATGGGCTGGTGGGTTGTCCCTGTCCCCATCCCCACCAGAGCATCTCTCCTGCAGAGGCTTCAGGGTGTTATATGCCTCCCTTGCTGGGATGGCAAAGCGTCACCTCAATCGACATTATTAATTGAGTGGAGGGAAGGGGGGACACTTGGCATGTTTGAGGGCACTGGCTTCGGAGCCACGAGCCATATATCCTCCTGCAAAGGAGTAATGTTCCCCTTGCTGGAGCTGTATGTCTCCGCCAGCCGCATCACGTAGGGATGGTGGGAAAGACGGATAGATCTCCACGCCTGGAATGCCGGGAGCCTGCCCGGGCCGTGGACGTGCCCCGGTTCCCGTGGCGGCGCCGGCTCTGCTCCGCCGGAGCGAGCAGCATCCTTGTCGGGAAGCGGAGCCCTCCCTTCGTTCAAATTAACTGGGGGAGAGCTAAGCAGAGCCGAGTTAAGTTCGGCCCTGGGGGATTCCAGTCTAGTGGACTATTACTGCTGTCTCACTTCATTATAATGAATAATAAAGAGATACTTACACACGGCTTCTGTAAATTATTCATCGCGTGCACCGCAAAATCAGGGCAGCAATATGTAAAACAGACAACTTACATGTCTGCGCTCACATAAATAGCCAGGCTACAAGCCCTGCGAGGGGCTCTTGGGTCTCCTCATTAGGGGTGAAACGTAAGGACTAGGGTTTGAAGTGACAAGGATGAGGAGCTCGTGCCGTAATCAAACATGTCCCTGGGTCAGCACGTTTTGGGTGCGCTTCCCAGGGAAATGTGGGTGCTCGGGGAGCCCTGAGAACTGGAGTCAGTCCTTTTGCGTTCACAGGTCCCATTTCCAGCTCTGATCCCAAGTGCACAGGGATGCTCGTAATGCGGGAGGACACACTCACACAAGGAAGGGTGAGGACAGCATCACCCATCTCTGCCTATAGCTCCCAGTGACTGGTACCAGCCTCAAAACCACTCGGAGTAAATGGGCAGGAGCAAACGGAGACTCCTACAGATTCATGCCACAAGCAAGGAGTCAAATGCTCCTTCTTCCACCCCTCAGACTCACTCTTCAATTGCTGCCACCCAATAGCTAACTTGGGACTGAATCCCTTCTGCTCAGCTTGCTGGGCATCCTGCTCCTCCCCACTAGAGCTTGGGTTGTGCCCTGCAGCTACAGGTGGTGAGGAACCAGACAAACCACCCTGCTCTGAAAACCAGCAATCCTGCACCTCCTGGCAAGGTGTCAGAGCAGAGCCACCATCCATTAGCTGGCACAGAGAGAATTCAAAGGCAAATGCAAAACAACACCCCGAGGTGAGGAACACCCCTCTACCTTCTTTACCTGGCTTGGAGAATGATCTCCATTAGCTGCTAAGCTCCCTCGCCTGCAGAGACATCTTTGCTACCTCTTTCCAATTGACCAGGATTATGATAATGTCTCCAGTAAGCAAACAGGTAAAGAGACTTCTGCAAAGTGTTTAGATAAAGCAGACAAGCTTTTACAAAGCTGGAGAATAAAGCAGGCCAGAAGGTTTTTCCCTTGAAGGGATCTAATTATGAACAAAGGCAAAGCCCCATTAACAGTCTCCTGAAGGCGCCACATCCATCTCCAGAAGAAACCCTGCCTCATGAGTCCGGAAGGGACCAAAGACAATAAAGTGCCTGTCATATGGGAGGGAAATAAACCCATCCTGGCTCTGCAGTTCACCTGGAGAAAAACCATCAGCAAGGCAGGGGGAAGAGCTTGGGACTGATATTATCAGCCCAAACCCTGACACCCACCTCATCCCAGTTCTCTCCTGCAGGCATTCTTCACGCGGCACCACCCAACACGTCTGCTCCTCCATCTCTGTCACACGTAGATCCTCTGCCCTTGAGCAGAAAACCCCTTTTCCAAATACCTCCCCAGTGTACCCAGTTTGAGATCATAGAATCCCAGACTGGTTTGGGTTGAAGGGACCTTAAAGTTCATCCAGCTCCAAACCCCTGCCATGGGCAGGGACACCTTCCACTAGAGCAGGTTGCTCCAAGCCCCTGTGTCCAACCTGGCCTTGAACACTGCCAGGGATGGGGCAGCCACAGCTCCTCTGGGCACCCTGTGCCAGCGCCTCAGCACCCTCCCAGGGAAGAACTTCTGCCTAAGATGCTCTGCCCTTAAGCAGAGACTTATCACCACATGCAGCCCTTTGGCTGCCTCCCACCTCTCTGCTATGGCAGCTTGTTGGGGTGCCTCAGACGCTGGCAATGCTCACAGTGATACACGTGGCCTCTCAGAGGTGCCACATCCCAAGACTCATCTTGATCCCCTGGCTCAGGGGGGGACAAGACCTGCTGGAGTGATGAGGGTGACGAACCTGAACACGGCAGCACAAGAAGATGCACGAGGGAGGGAGCCGGGGGCACCAGCGCAGCGCCGCTTCCCTTCTAATTGCCCCAATTCCTCATCCTTAAATGCTAATTGTGAAGTTTGCCAAGGAATTCTTTCACTTAGTGTCAACAATACAAATAACTCCACTGACATGCTCTTTGTGTTCAGCAGCACAACACAACCAGCTCCCTTCTCCTGGCTCTATTAGGAGAGACTCCTGCGTCGCTCCCACAGCAGGGTCCTGCCTGGCCCCATCAATGACACTGACAGCACTTCTCCTACGTGTTGGATGTGCTACCTTCATCCCCCGCCTTCCCCTGTCCCTGTCACAGACCTTTCCATCACTGCTGCCTCAGCCGAGTTACGAGGGCAAAGCCTGGGGCTGCCCTTACCACCCGCCCCATGGTGAGGGACATACTGTGTTCAGGGTCAGCACAAGTGTTCTGGCACTAGTTTGGAGGGATAAATGGCAGGTGAAGAGTTGGAAACATAAAGCAGGTCTTGCAAACCCCTCTCTGTAGGTGCGAGATATCCCAAAGGATGGGATGCTTGAGACCCCAAAATGTTGATGCATGTCCCAAGCTGTCCAGGGGACCGGTTTGCACCCCTAGAGTGGAGCCTTCAGGGGGATGCCTGTGTTTGGATCAACCCCAAACCCTCCCGCTTGCTTATGCAAACCAGCAGTGCTCTACTTGTAAGTACTTCTGCAGCCCTTCAACCCCAAACTGCTTTTCTCTCCTGGAGACAACACATCTTGTCAACATGACAAATGGAGATGCCAAAACCAGTCCCAAACTGGCTGGATGACCCACTTTTCAGTGGCTGAAATAACTCACCCACACCGGGAGCGAAGCCCCTCAGCAGTGACAGGGTGTTGCTTCAGCCTGGGAAGTTACCACCCAAAGGAACCTGTCACAGGGGCAGAGGGAACACCCCGACACCCTTGTCTTTGAGAAGAAACTGTTAATTACAGTTGCCTAATCCTAATGGGATTTCTCCTTTCCTTCTGCTACTCGCCCCAGCTACGGAGCGAACAGGCTCCGAACGCCTTTTATTCCAGGAAGCTGGAGCAAAGGCAGCTGAGATTTATTTGTAATCATTGGAAGTAAACACAAAAGAACAGAACCTGGCTGGGCTCCCACTTCGTTAAAGATGCAAATTAGAAGCAGGCCATCAACATGCGCCGGCTCCGCTAATCCTCTCCCAACAATGCGACGCGTCGCATTAGCTGCGGGGACAATGGCATCTGCGGT